TGGGGGCTCCAGAGCTGGACACAGCTCTGCAGGTGGGGTCTGACCAGAGCAGAGGGGCAGAATCCCCTCCCTGGCCCTGCTCATTACACTTCTTTTCCAACCTTGGGGTTTGTTTGTTTTTGGAAATTCCATGATTTCCAAATGAAGGGAGATGCAAGTGCACACAGCAACTGGAATAGAGACTGAATGCTTTTAAACTTTATTGGTTTAGACACATAGTCTGAAAAAATACTATGCATTCCCAGTTGTCAATTCATATTAAACAAGCATATACATTTTGTTACATTATTAATGGATTTGAAATTAAAAAATAATAATTAAACCATTACAGAAAGACTGCTGTGTCTTTAGAGGACTTTGCAACAATTTTTTCGTAGAAGATTGCTAAAATCAATCTCAGGTTCCAATATTCCTTTGGTCGTTATTTTATTTTACTCTTTTTTCTTTTCTTTTTTCTTTTTACAACACATGTAGTACAGGCACACATCCTGAATGTCTTCCTATGGATGCTGAGGACAGAGTGCTGGAGTAACAACAGGTTTTATAAAAGAGCTTTTCTTATATGTCAGTCCACAAGAAAATCTTCAGAGCAGTTTTGAGAAATGAGACAATTTAATTCTTTACAAAAGTTTCCATGGATGACTTTTGATATACATGCTAATATACCAAAACAGAAATATCCTTAATTACAGTTAGATTCTTTCTTTTTACATGAATGTATATGTTACATTTTAACTCCTTCACTTTCAGTTGAAAACAGAACAGGCAACGCTTACGAAAATGCCTCATTTGTTTGCTGCTTGTACTTTGCTAAAATACAAAACAAAAAGCTGAAATGAAGGGCTTAAAGGGGCTCTAGATGCCTCAGAAAACATTTTATTTTGGAACAATACCAGGGATCTGAAACTGGCTACAAGCATCTGGATTTCTCCAGAAGGAACAGCCTCAACTTCTCCATTGAACAGGAATAATGAGGGTGTAGAGACCACTCAATGTGCAAAGTACTGAAGGATGTCAATTCCAAGAAGAAATTAAGATTAAATTCTGATTGCCCCTTTTTTTTTTTCCCCCCACAGACAAAACCAAAGTGAGCTAAAGATACAAAAAGTACTTGGATAGAATTGCCTCTAAATAAAATGCTTTTTCCAAATTTTCTGTAAGGCATCAAGAGGTCTTTAAGTAATTTGTTACCATGCAAAAATAGTATATTCTTTCCTGTTTTACATTCATCTTGTAGCAGTTTATTTACATATAGTTCACCAGTTTGTGCTTTTAACACATGGAAAACAAAGAAAAACAAACAAACCTATAGTTAATTTGTTTAGTTCCAGAAGATTAGGTCAGATTCTTTTGTTATATGCAAGATGTTCATATTCATGGCAAAAATGACACTGGACTTTCCTGATGCTGATACGTACTTACTCACAATGAGGACAGATTGCAAAGTAACACTTTATCTATAAACAACTCACTGTCTCTCTCGCTCTCAACTGATGCGTCTTGACCAGTTTAACCTGCAAATGTGCCTTTCAGGAAGGAACAATTCAGTGTTTCCTGCCAGCAGGGGGTGAGGGCTGCCTGCTGTGCTTCCTCTCACACTCGTGTCTTTGACCGTTCTCGGTTGTGTCAGTGCAACGTGTTGAGCAAAGAACATATAACATGTATAACAAAGCACTAGTCTCATCCTGGGGGGGAAAGAAAAGAAATAAAAGTGTTTTCTTCTCGCTTTTGTACATGAGCACTGGAGACAGACTTCCAGGGACTTCACAGACATAGCACCAGGCCCAGGAAGAAGCTCCCAGATGTAAGATGTCCCACCACTGAGCCCACTCACCACAGCAGCAGAGCTGGGCTCGTTTTGGTGGCCTTCCTGTGTTTATTCATTAACTGATTGCAGAGTGAACCCCCAGATGACAGCAATTAGTTACACCAGTCATCCTGCCCCTGAAGCCATCAAGAATAGAGCTCCTTACAGTGAAGGGGAACGTGCATTGCCACTTTTGTACCAGCGCTTGAGTCTCAGCTCTTTTCAGTCAGATTAACATCAGAAATACATTTTGTGATTAGTTATCTTAAGGAAAAATAAAACTGGCTATTTGGCAGCCCTGGGGATTTTTTCCTTGGTGCTCACAAGAGGTATGTCAACTTAAGAAAGCTCAATGGAAAATAAATATTCCTGGAATTCAAAGAGAAAGGTGTTTGTGCCCAGCTCATGTGTTCCATGTGTGTTCTTTTCAAGTTGTGATCTCCTACAACATTGTTATGATCATGGCGAGACCTGGAGGGGAAAATCTGATGTCACAAGAAGGTATTAACAAGAGCTTTTGGTTCATTTCTACAGCTTTCAACAGCTCCTGAAAACATTCACACTTCTGGTGGGACAACACAATTTCTCCAAAATTTTGCACCGTCCTCGTGTGGCCAAGTTGGTAATTTTTTTATTATTTTTTTGGTGTCCATTGTCTCTGGCTCTAGTGCATCTGACATTGTGCATCAAATGCCAAAAGAAGAACACAGATACATTATTTAGCATTAGGTAGGTAAAAATAACAGCCATCTAAGCCATAAATAAACTCATCTTGGGATCTTCTGTGCCTCATACCGAGTGTAGTTGTCTACAAATTTGGTAAACTGAAATAACTTCAGGAGAAAACTTAAGTTAAATTCATGTGGTAGAAAGAGATCAGTGGAAGAGTGTAGTTGTCTAAAAATTTGGTAAACTGAAATAATTTCAGGAGAAAAAAATTAAATTCATGTGGTAGAAAGAGATCAGTGGAAAATAGCATTTCTGTACTTATTTAGATGAGTAGTTATTTTTCAATGTACTTTAAAAGTTCGTTGCATTGAAGCAGGCAGGAAATGGTACTGAATGTGATTCTGCATTGCTCTGAAGCGTGCGTGTGTAATGCCTGTCTTGGCTGATACAGAAAGGAGGTGAACTAGACACCAGAGAGACAAAAATCCTTGTGACTTGACCCAAAGAGCCAGATTTGATCCAGTCATTCCTGTGACCCCTCCATGTGGCAGATGCAGCCTCCCCAGGGGTGCTGTTGCTGCGTATGTTGGTGAAAAATGAATGTGCCGTAGTCTGGGCTGACAGCAGTGATATCTCTGACTTGCTTTGGACTGATATGACTCATTGCACTGGAATCAAATGAGGAATCAGGCACAAAAAGGGATTCAGCCAAATCCTTCCACATCTGAGGAATCAAATTCTTTATCTGAGTGATTATGTTAGCTGATATTGTTTCCTTTGCATCATTGTGTTGTCAAATTACTGCAATAAATCAGTCTTCATGTAATGCTCACTCATTAATTCAATTGGTTTCATGTTGAAGCATGCAATGGAATATCTGAGGGAAAATAAGAGATGATTCAGATTGCAAATTTGAAATTTACCTTCAAAAGTCTACAGTAGATTCCAGTTTAAGAGAGAAAATGAGTGTGCTTTCACTGTCCTAGCAAAGATCCAGCAGGCACAGCTCCATGCAAGTATGCACTGGTGCAACAAACAGCAGCTATTAAAACACACACACAGAAGACCCTGTTTAGCAGAAGGAAGCCGCCCACAGTCCAAGTATTCAAGCGACTTGACTTTACAGTTTTCTCATTGTTTTGTACCGTGCTTGGTATCAGGAGAGAGCCCCAGAGTCTGTTCATGTTCCACATGGGACGTGTCCCCTTTCCGGTGGCTGCAGATGGTTGTGAACTCTTAAGGTTTTGTCCAGACCACGTGCTCTTTATTCCTGAGAGGCCCCTGGAAGCAATGACAGTGGGAACTGAGGCTTCCAGACATCTGAACGGAGAGGTGTTTTCTCAACAGGCTTCTCTGCAACCACGTCCAGTGACACCTCACAGCAGCACTGGTAACACAGCCTTTTGCCCATCTCCACAGGCCTCTTGCAGCAGCGTCTCTTCCTCTCCAGCAGCCAGCCGAGGGATGCCCTCCCTCCACTGCCACGTCCCAGGCCGGCCCTTCTCCCAAACCTGGTGGCTTTGCTAAGCCCCCTTCCTTCAGAATCACAGCTTAGACCTTGTGCTCCATTTCTTCAGTGCTGTTTCTGAAAGGGAGTTAGTCCAGCTGGACCATGTGGTATTAGCAGCATGTAAAGTAATAAATTAGGGACTGGGAGCGTTATGGGTTAACAGGAACTCCCAGAGAGCCAGTGATTCCTTCCCAGCCTTCCCATTTTGAGCAGTTCAGATATCAATGAGTGCACTGGGCTGAAGGAGGCCCTAATGTAAAACCAGCATGCCATGTATAAACCAAGTTGGGATGAAAAGTAGAAGGAATCCTATCCTATCGCTTCCTAACCTGTTCTGGTAATTTCAAGGTAATATTAATCCCTTAGAAGTAATATAATAATAGGCCTACTAGGTACAAATAGCAGAAGATTCATTCCTGTTCCTATTCTGGTTGTTAGTTAGGTCATTAGCAATTAAATCAATGTGTTTATGTCTTGGAAAATAAAAAAAAAAACCCTATCACTTAATATATAAACCAATATCCAGCTTGAAGTGTCAGATCAGGGAAAACAGATCATCATCAATTTCACCATCAGTCACTGATTGTTTGAGGTAGACCACATTATTGAATGATCAACAACTTTAGTTTCTAATGCATTAGGTTATATACAATCCAATATGAGCAGGCATACCTGAAATTTTCCCTATTTTAATTAGAAATGTTTGTAGTTATTAGCAAGGTAAGTTTCCATCATTTACTTGGTCGCAGATTGACATTTCTGTATATATTGTGGCCATTTAGCACAGTCCTTAGTGGTACCCTATGGTGTACATAGAGTGAAAAATAAACTGTATCACACCTGATGGGAAAAAGGAGAATTATGGTTAGTGGTGAAATCCTAGAACAATGCAAGGCTCAAATGTAAGACTCAGATGTTTATCCATTTCAGCTGTGTCATTCTGGCTCTGCACTTTTTGAGTGTTATTCTAATATTGCTACGAAGTCCATCATTCCAGACATTCTTCCTGTGGTTTCAGATGGAGATGCTTGAATATAGCTCTTCTATTTGTTTTTTGAAGTAATCTCTGAGTTCAGGTCTTTTAGCCTTTAACGTTGGCGTCAACAAACCATTTTGTACCGAGAACATATCAGAGTGAATGTAAATGGCCTTGACCTAAAATGAAAAAGTGAAATATTTATAGCAAAAATTGCAGGCATCACACTGACTTCTCATGCCAGCCTTGCTGGTGGCTGCGCCTGGAACCCAGGGGACCCTTTTGCTGGATCCCCCAGATTTACCTCACCTTCCCAAGTTTTCCAAGGTGACACTAAATCCCTCCACCACCCCTCAACCTTCCCTGCTCCCTGCCAGCTGGGAGCTCTCCAAGAGGATGAGCACAAGAACCTCTTTTCTATATGAAGCCGCAACACAGAGAGGCTGAGCACAAGGGACAGTGGCACCATATGTGATATTGTAGCTGTGGAGTTCCACACAGTTGGAAAGACTGTGGAAGGCAGGAGAAGGGAAGGAGGGCAGGGAGTCACTCTAAGAAACATAATCTTAATCAAACTGCAAGAGAAAGTACACAGCATTAATTCAGTCTTGCAAAATCATCACGAAGCTTTGTGGGCACAAAGTGTACATGATGATCATCATTAAGGATGAATTGATGCTGTGTTACTAGCTAATTAAAATGATATAAAATAATTCATCCTAGGCAAACAGGATTTTCCAAGGCTGCCCTTGTTAGCTGCACAGCCTGAGCACAGCAGGAAGCCTGGCAGCACAGATGGGAGCGTTTCCTTCCAGTGCAGCTCTGGGAGTGCTGGTGTGGGAGAAAGCAGAACACTGCTGCGTGACTGGTCGTGGTCTGCTGATATAAGACAAAATTCCCCAGCCATCTGCTGCTACCCCAAACCAGACCAGTTTGCACTATGTTAGACTAAGAGTTGCAGGAATATAGACTGAGACTCAATTTTTAAATTCCCTTTAGATATGTGGTTCAATTTTCCCCAGTAAACAAGGTGGTACAGTTCCTCCCCCAGTGTCGTCCTTCACAAAATCAGTGTCCCTATTACTCATGAATGCTCCCCTGCTTGCTGCCCTGGCTTTCAGAGCCTGTGCCCTGGAAGCTGTTGGTGATGGAGCCAGAGTTGTCACTTCCATGCCAGAGATCCCAGCTCAGGCTGTGGACAAGGACAGAGATGATACAGAGGGGCTCCTCCACACACAGGGGATCCCACCAGAGCATTAGCTGTGATATCTGGCTCAAAGTTTGGTTTTAAGATTGTATGTTGCTACAGAAATAGAATTTTGAAGCCCTTTATTCCTGAAATGTGAAACATTTATTCTCAGTTTTTAGAAAGATGGTAGGGCTTCCTTCACTGCCTTCCAGTTTCTCAATTGCAAATTGCTGGTAGAATTGATTACTTGAGGATATTTCACATACTGAAGATTATGGCAGGAGCAAGCCAGACTTATTATCACAGACAGTTATGTCCATTTCAAGCTGCACATTATACTGAATTTCATTTTTTAAAATTAATTTCTTTTTACTATTATTTGATTTGCATGTAACTAAGGGATTAAGAATAGCAAGATTATGTTTAATGGTGCTTCTGCTGCACTTAGATATGGTGAATTACTCATTAGAATTACCACTCAGAAACAGTCTAAACAAAAGCAAAAAGGCCCTTGCTAATTACACGTAATGAATATGATTTTCATTATTTTAACACAAATAAACATTTGTTATTTTAAAATGTGGTGGATTTTTTTTTACTGTGTTTTTAATGCTATCTCATTAATGGTTGATTTCACTTCTCTCCTTGTGAAGTGTTTGTAGCTCTGTTGCAGAAATATTTACACAAGCACCAGAAAAGAATTAGTGCCCAGGCTGAAAATAAATAAACCAGCAACATTTCCTAGGTCAGTTATAAGAATGGTAATTAGTGACCTAGTTTCTTGCCAGTGCTTTCAGTGGCAGAAGCGTCAGAGCCCTACAGATACTAATCTTGACCCCTGGTTGTCAGACTGGAGATTATTTGTGTCCCTGGATTAGATTTTTATCTCTGCACCCAAAACTTTCACTACATTGAATTCAAATTTCAAGCAGGAGTGGAAGGCAGAATCACAGCTGCGTCTTTTTCAATGGAACAAAGTTGGAAGCAATAAAGCTCTCAGAAAACACAGTGTGCAGCTGCAACAAGGATATGTCACAGCAGCACAAATGCTGACAAATCCCCATTCAACACCTGTGGACAAATTGCCTGTCTGACCACACTGAATAAGGTGTTGTTTCATTTCACCTGCTCAAAGGAATGAAGTCCACTCTCCTTCCCCAACCGTACCATGTCTTCCATTATTGCTTGCTGCAGTTCCTGGGTTAAAACAGAAATTTCTCATTTCAGAGGTTGGCCTTATGTCATTGTTCATCAATAAAACACGTTTCTGAGTAAAATTCAAGTGCCTTATTGATAGTTAATACATAAGTAGCAAATATTCTATTAAAGAAATGTACAAATATTAAACTCATGTGTGGGGATGTTAACTCTTTACCAAATAGGAGAACTAAGCTTATCTTTCCAAACATATATGACATATATGTATGTATATATATATGTATATGACATAGATGCTGAAGTTTGCAATCCTGCAGCCATTTACCAGACTTATTTCCTACAGACACCAGTGGGGTGATTCAGTGGCATCAGGGTTCATTGATGGGATGCAACTCAGTTCCCCAGTATTAGAGAGCATGTGCAGATAGTGCTGGAATCCTCATTTAAGACATCTAAACATAACCAACCTCTCCTGTTGTTTTCTGCAAGCCAGACCCTTGTTTCCCCCAGAGGTCTGTACCATCAGTCAGCACAGTATCCAGGTCAGCCCTGCTTAATTCTCAGTGAGGAAATAATTCTTGCCACTGAGATCATTATTCATGGCCTCTGCTCTAACTAGGTCAGGCTGGAGTGCAAAGATGTCTGTGCTGCAGGTAGTTAGAAACACAAACCTTATTTTTGCAGAGTTCTGCATATGTTCCATCAAACCCTCTTTTCTTTGCCCAGCCCGGCATAACTTCGGAATCAGGCACCACAATTCCCACCAGAAAGGCCTGTAGGTGAAGGAGATGGAGAGATGCAGGCAAGAGCTGATTAAAGACCTGACACTGAAGTGAATCCTAAACCAGTTCAATTCAGTGTGTGTTTATTGTTTCTTGCTTCATTACCTCAGCAATTTGCTACCATGCCATAGTGAAGTATATTTTGATGTCTGTGCCTTTTCCTCAGATTAAATGGTTCTCTTTGACTGTTCCTGGATTTGCCAATGATGCCTTCAGATGTGTTTGTGTTTGGCTTGGTCATTCATTCAATGATACTCGTGTTTTGCCTGAGTCAGAGCCCGGCACAGCCTGTATTGTGTACACACCTGCAGCTCAGGGGCTGTGAGTCCCAGGCAGCCCCCAACACCACGGGGAGCCCGGGTTTGTGGGCAGTCAGTGCAGAGGGATGAGCTGCAATGCCTTCAGAAGCTGCACATCTTTGTATAAAGCTGCAAATGAACCCTCTTCACTGCGTGCACAACTGCAAACTGGGAACAGGGCTGTGATGTGGGGAGGGGGGCAAGGCAAAAACCCAAGATGGGTCAAAACGGGTGGGCTGCAGTGGTGGTGCTGCCTCCACTGAGCTTGCGGCAGGCAGTGTGTCAAGGGAGAGCTGCAGGGAACCAGAGGGTGACACTGAAACAAATTTAAAGGCTTAATCTTTGGCCACAACATCCTCCAAGCTGCTTAAGGTCACCCCAGCAGCTCAGCTCCGGCGTGGCTGGCAGCCAGCTCTGGGACAGCAGGGACACGTCAGGGCACTAACGTGGCGTGATCCTGTCACGCTTTCCCCTCAGCCCAACCCTCTGCCTTCTGTTCACAAAGAATAAAGCAGTATTTTCTGAAAAACTGAGTTTTTACCTGCAGGCTGTCTCCATGGACGTAGATCTGGGCAACAGGGTCACTGCGGATGTAGATATTCTCTATCTTCTCTGGTGCAATATATTCTCCCTGAGCAAGTTTAAATATATGCTTTTTCCGATCAATAATTTTAAGAGTCCCGTTCTGTTAGGAAAAAGAAAGGAGAGTTCCCAGAGAAGTTATTTAACCATAGAGACTCAGTAAGCACTCTGCTTTTAACAGAGCTCTTTAGGTTGCCAGAAAATGCTTCACTGAGCTATCAAGCTTATTCAGCAAAATATAAAGTTAATCCTTTGTAAAGGTAGATCTGCTTGGAAATTTTTAGTTCAGTACTTGCAAATGCACACGGGTAATACACCTGACATGGGAACTAAGCCCCTGCTCAGTACGCACAGGTAACCACCTCCCGATGTCTCCGGTGTGGAGCCAGCCCTCTGGATCCAGAGCTTCAGTTGTCTTCTCTTCATCTTTCAGATAACCTTGGAAGACATTTGGTCCTTTCACACATATCTGCAAAACAGTCAGAGTTCCTGATAAATTATTTTATCATTCTGCTGTAAATCCTAACGAGTGTGATTCACTACAACGGAAATATTTTAAAGGGTGACTTAATGACAGTGTTCCATGAAACAAAAATATAGGGTGCAATAAAATTACCTATGGAATTTTTTCAAACTAATGGAAGCATGAAGTAGGGAATGCAAAACTGATTTGCCTGAAGTTGGTTTGGATTCAGCTTGCAGTTAAAAATAACAATGTTCTTTCAATAATTTTAATGTATGCGCAAATAGAAATAACAGCAACGTAGAAATCACAGCAATTCAGCTTTTCTTAGCTGAACTAATTAATTCAGCCTTAGCTGTTAAAGTAATCAGGCATGGCATTGGCTGGAAGAACTGCCACAGCCCCTTTGTAGTTAATGCTTTGCTGCTCTATTGCTGAACTGACATTTTCCTTTTCTGATTGTAGTATGTAACACCATCATCTGCAACCATGCACCTTACAAAGCTAAAATGCTTCTGTAACTACATAACTACTTAATACAGTGTTAACTAGTGAGAATTTGATATAAAAATGTGATTTGCTACCTCTCCTTCTCCTTTGGCAGCAAAATAATTCAGCTCTTCCACATCCTTCAATCTGATTAAGTTACAGGGCAAAGGGGCTCCTACATGACCTGGAAATCAAAGTTATCAAGTCACTTGTCATCTCTATTCTATAAGGAATAATTAGCATTTTATTTTTAGATGCTCACATAGTTGTAGATACGCTGGATGTTCTTGTAGAGGCTGTGTCTGTGTGCAGAAATAATTTCCTCATTTAAGGTTTTGCACTATTAAGGGTAAATCCCCAAACCCCCTCTTTGGATTTATAAAAACCCTGTTTTCAAACATATAATCATAGAATCTTCCTGGTTGGAAGAGACCTTGAAGATCTCCAAGTCCAACCATAACCTAAATTCCCCTACCATAACCTAATTTACCCATTCAGTGCTTAAATCATGTTGCTAAGCACTATATCTAAATAACATGTTGAAACCCAGACCATGGCTCCCTCACCTGCAAGAGACTAAACCCTTTTTTAAACTGAATTCATTATAATCTGCCCAATGCTGACCAGGGGCCAGTGAGCCCCAGGACTAACCAGTATCTGCAAGGGGCTGGATTTGGTCTGAAGAAAACCAAACACTTGTGCTGGGAGAAGAAAATATCTGCTGTTCTCCAGCCCCAGAAATCTGGGTTAGAAAGAAGGAAACACTGATCTAACAAAATCCACTAATATCCATCCAATGTTCAGGTTTCCTACTAGTATTAATTTTTATCAGTGTGATGCCCATTTCAAGACATTGTTATAAATATTATTATATTGACAAGAAATTAAGGCAAAGTACTTGCATGTATTATCTGAATCTTGCTTAGTGCAATATATAAAATATATCTTAAGTATTAGAAATATACGAAGCATTGCATAGTGGTGGATCCCTATCCAAAGCCTGGGTTTGCTTACAAAATACATTAATGTATTAATCTTTTCTTTGTTCCAGCATTTTGTTCTAACAAACATTCTTTAATACTCAGCTCCAGCCTCTCAGGACTCACAGGGCCAGGAGTGCAGAGATGAGAGTATGGTAAAGGGACAATTCCTGATCTCCCCAGGCAAATGTGCCCAACATGTGTATTTCTTCTAGACTAGGGATACTTCTGAGAACATTCACTTGGTGGTGAATGTTGCCCAGCACCCTGTGATCTTCCAGTCCAGAATTTTCTAAAGAAATTCTTTCTGGAAATGGTGGAAGAAAATTGTTACCTGATGTCCAGTCCCCTGGGGTAGTAAAGGTGCATCCAGCTGTGCACTCTGTTTGTCCATAACCTTCATAAACCTGACAAAGAAACAGGTACATTTAAAGCAGTATCTGTCATTTCATTGTTACAGAATAAAATGCAAGGATTGCATGGGGACCCTTTCCCTGCCTCTGCCTCTACACAACATTTCATTTGCATTCCTGTTAATGACCACTTCTCTGAAGAGCTTCAGCTGTACAGTGAGAAGACAAGCTCAGCACTTGGCTTTTGAGTCAACAAATATGTTACTCTACGAGAGGAATTTATTAGTGGGGAAGAAAGGTAGTTTTGGGGGACATTTAAAAAACACACCTTTTAATTTTTTTCCCCACCTAACTTTAGGCTCTTGAATCAGGACTTGAGTTGCCCTGGGCTTCCTTGTCAAAGAGAACAGCACAGTGGGTATCTTAGGTAGGTTAAATTGCCATCTGTAGATTATCTCTCTCCAATTCTACATAGAATAAACCTCATTTAATGAAGTTCCTACCCCACGCACAAGCACATTTAATTGCACATACTCAGTTAAGTGCTGAGAGTCGGGTGGGATGAGTTTGTGCTTTTTATTTTGGCAGCTGCCCCAGTGAAGCAGCTCTTGCCCACAAATGCTGGTGGAGCTGTGGGGAATGCAGTGCTGAGGTCCCAGCCCATCTCCTTTCTAAACTACAGCACATATTCAAGCTGACAGTAAAGGAACATGTCCAAAGAGCCAGAGGAACCCACCTGGCACCCGAGGGCAGCTCGGAGGAAGCCCAGCACGGTGGGAGAGGCGGGGGCAGCCCCTGTCCCTATCATGCGAACGCACCCGCCGAGACTTGCCTGTTGGACACGTGAGGAACCAAAGGAAGCAGCACACATTAGTGATGATGGCAAAACCAGCAGTGTCTGTGGGTGTTGCTGATTGTATGTGCAGAGAATCACAGACTGGTTCGAGTTGGAAGGCACCATCCAGTTCCAACTCCCCTGCATGGGCAGGGACAGTTCCCAGGTGTCCCAGCAGCCCAGGCTGCTCCAAGCCCCATCCAACCTGCCCTTCAACACTGCCAGGGATGGGGCAGCCACAGCTTCCTGGGCAGCCTGGGCCAGGGTCTCACTACCCTCAAAGGGAACAATTTCTTCCTAATGTCCAACCTAAATGTACATATACATGTTATATACAGTGCCATGAAAGTATCAGCTCAGTAGCTTTATAAAATGGTCCCTCTAGAATAGATGCAGCCTTGCTATGGAAATCTGAACTGGCCCTGAATCTTTCCTTAGTGATAAAAGGGCAGGTAAATCTTACAAAGCAGCAATTGTCCCCATCACAGGTAGGAATAGTGCCCAAATTAAAAACCATTCCAGGTACAGGGGTGAGAGTCCCACATCCCTGGCAGGAGGAGCTTGTCTTGACTCCTGCAGAAGCACATCTGGCTCTGGGAACTGGAGGGTAAAAACCAGACTCTTCTCTTCCTCCAGCTTCCTTTGCTTATTTGCACCTCATAGTTGTTAATGGATTTCCCATCTAGAATAATGCTGTCCCTTTTTCAAGGCAGATGCCCTCAAATATTTGTGGAGGGTATTACATCAATTCCTCTGTCGCCTTCTTTTTTTCCTACTTCTTTCCCCACCCATCCCCCCCTACTTCATTTCCTTTTTCTTATTCTAAAAGTAGAAAGAAAGCCCAGCACAAAGGAAAACAACTCCTGATTTAGTCTGCCAGTCTTGCCAGCTCCAGAATCAATATGCAGCCTGGCTGCCTCCTGTCTGGGCTCCCAGCAGCTCCCTCTGAACTCTGCTCTCTTTGCACACTGAGGACAACTAATCCACACACCAAGAGTACAGTCAGTTTCTTTAGTTAAAAATAAAGTGGCATGTCTCCAGGTAAGTTATCCAATTAAAAAAATAAATAAAACAAAGTAATCAGAGCCTCCTGGAGCAGAACAGAGCCTGGAAAACCTAGTTTAAAACCCATTTAATATTTCTTTCTTTCCTTTTTTTTTTTTACTGGGGAGATGTGTGGCACACAGCAGGGCAGTCTGATTTCTTTCCCCTGTGGTTAAATTGTGATTTATTTGTGCACTTTTTCCACTCCAGATTTATTCTTCTTTTCTTAATAAAACTCCAGTTTTAAATACACCCCATGGAAACCAAACCCTAAATCCCATCATATCTATAGAGAATTTGCAGAGAACTTTGGAGCAAGGTCTCTTTGATCATACTGCTCTTTTCCTGACCACCTTCCTGACTTTCCTCCCCACTGGGAGGGGACAGGAGTGGGTTAGATGCAGTCCCCTCCCCTGCCCTTCCCCATGGGGCACAGGCAGAGCCCATGGCAGGTCCCTGCAAGGCAGAGCACCCCAACACCAAAGAGGTGACAGCAGCCCTGGTGTTGGAGGCCACAATCTGGTTTCTGGGCAACCTGACCTGGCAGAGTACAAGTGCCTCTGCACCACATCCCTCCTTGGTGCCTGTGCAAGGGCACAGTTTGCACCCAAGAGCCCTGAAAAACAGGCAGGATTCTGCAAAAGGTGATTTCTTGGTGTTGCTGGAGGGATGTGGCAAAAGCTGCCTTGAGTTTCCCCCTTCCCCTTTAGAAAACTATCCCTAGCACAACTGAAATTTTGTCATCTTATGCATGGTATTTAAAGATAAATACATAAATTAAATTAAATGTGGCACAATTTAATGCAAGTTAGTGGAGTAACAAACTGTGCTGCATTTCCTATTCCCTTGCTCGGTCTGTCCCTCAGCTCAGCATCAGGTGAGGGAACTGCAGTGACGTGAAGGAAACCAGCCACTGCTAGAAGAATGGGCAGTTCCTTGGCTTCGGACTCGCTTGTTCAATTCCTTACCTGTATTTTATTAAAGAAGAGCTTGTCCCACAAGCTGTCGTTTCTGATGATCCCGTTCCGAACTTCCGCCTTCTTCCGCCTGGCCGCGAATTCCAGAACCCAGCGCTTGAGCGCCGTGTCTGCCTGGCTGAAGATCTGTGGGAGACACAAGGGGGGACCCCAGGGGGAGAAAACATGGGCAGCAGCTCTTACCATCCCAGGGACACAGGTCTGCCCCTGCCAGGCAGGGCACAGCCACACCAGCACGGCAGTTCAGTGGGTCCACACTAGAGCTATGGGAGTGGATTAAAAATAAGGGAGTGGTTTGTTTCACTGCATTTGCTCCTGTTCATGCTATTCCTTTGTGGGTGGGAGGGGAAAAAGTTTCCATCCATGATGATGGAAGCTTTGACTAGCTTTGCATGACTGCTGTTTCTGTATGATTCCTGCAATGGAGTTCAGTGGAGTCATGAATCTGAGCAACTAGGAACGAGCAACCTAAATACTAGGCCAGGTGTCAGTGCTGGCTGATGAGGTGATGGGGCCTGTGTTTGCCCAAGCTTCATCAGACACCACCATGCAACCCCCAGTGCCCAACCCTCTAATGAGACACCAGAACCCTTGATCCAACAGTCCTGACCTTAGGGAAAAATTAAATCAGTAGCTTGTGCTTAAGATCATCTTCAGAGGATAAGTCGTCTGAGGGATACATATTTCCAGCTGGTCAAACAGATTTAACATGATGACCAGACACATCTGTCTTAAATACCTCTCAAGACTATATCTTAGTTCCAAAGATTTCTAGATCATGAAGCCAGCCCCACATTTGCACTGCCTAAATCCTCATAGTCTGTTGCAGTTCCTGATTTTCAGCTGTCATTGTCACCAGAAAGAGCCATCCAAGTTCCTAAACTGATTGAAGGGCACAAAAAATGTCCTAGTGCATTCAGGTTTGACTGGTGTTTCTGTGATTAAAATGTCCTTTGCTTTTGGAAATGTCTCTGATAACATCAGTGAGAGCAGGGGAGGAGGCTAACACAGAGGGATATCATGTTAACATCCAACAGCCACGTCTGCAGTCTGTGTAAACCAACCTAACACACAAGACACAGCTCAGAGCAGCTGGATCAGGTACACAGGGTCAGAACGTGTCTGCAGAAATAGTTCAACCTGCTCAGAAGGCCCCTGTGACGAAGAGGATTCTTTCCAGTAAGCACTAAGAGTAGAGAAACTTCATTATTAGCAAAAGAACGGAATTAAACTCACCTTGTCATACATCCTGTTGAGCAGCCGCGGCACGACGGGGAAGATGGTGGGACGCAAGGCCTTCATGTCATCGGACAGCAGCCGGATGTCTCCTTGGAAGAACCCGACTCGCCCCCCGTGGCAATACACAACAGACTGAGGGGAACAAAAAGGAGCACATGGAACCTCTTTGCTTTGAACTCCCACAGCGGAGCAGCCCTCCCAGGTGCAGAAGTGCCTTTCCTGAAATTCTACTCTCAGTAAGGCAAAAAACGGAGCTTTGGAAATAGGTGCAGGTTTTGCACTGGATAGAAATATATGGATAGTTCTGGGCACTTCTCAGTTTTCTGGGCAATTCAGCATCCACCCAATTTGCCACTGTTTCTGGAAGAATAAGGAATCAAAGCTTTTAGAAGGGATTTCCCTTCATCCCCTGCATACAGGGATGGAGAAGTCCAAGTTATGGTCAGATTCTGGATCTGGACTTCTCCTCTGAAGCCCAGACCTACCATAGCAGCACAAGTACCTACTGTCAATACAGAAATGCATATTAAGAAACAGTGTAAAACATACTAAGCAGCAGCTGATTTTTAGATGTTAATGCTTTAGTTTTGTTTAAATACAATACAGACTAGGTTAGCAATTCAGTGCCTGATCCTGTATCCCAGAAATAGAAGCCCACTTCATAAAAGGTGCTTTACTTGTCTGGAAAATATAGATCCGGAAGTTTTGTACTTGGAAAGCAAAGAGACCACTTGATTCTGGTGGGAATAGCACTGGGTGTGTGGGATCAGGCAGGGCAGGCTGCCTGCCATGAGCCAGCTGAGGGCAGCTCTGGTGGTCAGTACCCCACAGGGTGGGGTGGACTGGAAATTCCTTCAAAGACACCGGAGTCTTTTTGTGTTACCCTGAAAAATCTGCTCTGCTCTGTCATCTCCCTGGAGACTGTCTCCATCAACTGAAACCACAGGAATTTTATATGTGATGTGGGTTTAACAAACATCCTGCTGCCAAATCTGGGCTTCACACTGCAGGAGCATTTAAAAAAAGAAAACGTGCATATATATATATCTCTCTCTATATATGTATATAATCAGCATGCTCACTGGTAATTAGAAAAAACTGCTAGAAAATTTGGGAATTATAAATAACTAGAAATGTTTTGCTTTGCAGGATGTATCTGCTTCATTTTAACTGTAAGTTCCAGGAACTAATACTGTCAGCTAAAACTAGGGAAGCTGGCACAGTGCTTGCTGTTCAGAATGCTTTTGAAATTACTTTTTAGCCCTTCTGAAAAAAATCTTCATATTAATGAGCTTTTTTAGCAGGGAGGATAAACTTGAGCATCTTTTGGAGGGCTGCCCCTTTCAATATGGCAACATCCTGTGGAGTCAGGTTATTTCAAATGTTTCTAATTCCTTCCCCCCTCCATCAGATGGCTTTTTAATAATTGTATTCTTGCTTGCTGGCTAAGCAGTTTGGCTGGATGGTGGTGGCACACTGCCCAGCTTGCCTTTTAAAATTAGACTTATAAGTGAAGATGGCCTGGGCTGGAATTCTCCAAATCTTTCACGAACTTTCACTTCCAATTTGCAAGTTTTTTAGCAGGGCAGAAGATATTATTCTTGGCACAGATCTTACTAAGAAGTGGGAGGCTTTGAATCAGATTCTTGTCTGACTCAAAAAGTGTTTTCAGCCCAGAACAGTCCTCCCTGAGAAAGTGCAGGGCTGCAACTGAATCCAGAGCCAACCTTCACGTCTTGGAACAGTTTTTAGTTTCTCAGAGATGATGGGCTCCTCTGACTGCAGCCCAAATGATCACCTGTCTTTTCAGAAAAGAGCTGGGAAAAGTCAATTCTGCTGGCAGGACTTAGCACCTCCATTTGCCTTTATTCCCAGGGGACTCTGGCTTCCAGTTAATGCCACCGAGGCTGCCCTGCTGGAAGGATCCTGCGTGTCACACCCTGCCCCAGTTTCCTCTTTTCTAGTGTCCACAAGTTTGGTTTGTGGATCTGGTTATTTATGTGATAAAAGCATTTTGAGCTGAGGTGGAAAAGGGAACAACATTCTTTTTCCTCCTGTGATACCTGATCCTTAAGTGCTTTGGAAAGCTGCCCCCAAAATTATGCAGGTGGCAGTTTGTGCTCAACTAGCAAAGGGCTGTTTTCCAATCTTGGAGCCACTGGTGTGAGCTGGAGAGCTTGGGAAACTCCTGGAATTGCTCTGGACTTGTGGCCATGTCACTGAGACTGGTGGCCAGGCCCTGGTGTGATGCATGTGGCACTTCTGGAGTACAAGCTTTTTTTAGTGCTACAAGGTATCATTGGTTATTTAGTGTTTTATTCATTTTATATTTTTATAATGGTTTGTTTGGTTGGTTTTTGTGGAAAAAGGTCATTTCCACTGACACCAGGACCTTACCTGTACCATTCTCTCAAACATGTGTGCTAAAGGCAAATAGGAAATGTGTACATCCTCACAAGTAGGAGACCACTGACTCTGGAAAAAAAACAGAAGGAGCCCCACGAGGCCTTGTCAGTTCAGGCAGGTTTCTTACCTGGATAACTCTTTCAAACATGTGAGCCAGAGGCAGGAAGGAGATGAGCACATCATCCTGTCTCGGAAAGATCACTTTCTGCAGGTGAAGGGCATGGGAGACAGAAAGGAAAGAAACACTGACAGGAAGACAACAAGAAAGTCATAAAACAATAAAAAAAGAAATATGGCACCAGAGGAGCAACAGGGCAAAGGCTGTTGAGAGAGAAGGGCAGCGGCGTACGGAGGGAAGCGTTAGAGCCACAGCGTCGATGGAGCTGGGTTAGCAGGAGGAGCAGAGAGGATGGAGATGTACAGAGGGCAATGGAGAGGGCTCTCCATGCTGGAGGCACAGCCAGGCAGCCCAGGCTGCAGGTGGAGGCTCACCCTGACAGAGAGCCCAGCTTTCCTTGTACATCTTTCTACCATCAGGAGCTGAGAGCAGGGTTTGCTCTCAGCTGTGTGCAGACCTGCAGGAGCCTCCTGGAGTCAGCAGGCAGTGTTTTTCCACATTACACAGAGCCCAGCAGAGACTCACAGTGTTACTAGAGTGAAAGTTATAGAATTTTGTCTTTTCCTTAGGTTGAAAAGACTTAATTTGAAATTCAACTTCGAAATTCAACTTCGAAATTCAACTTCGAAATTCAACTTCGAAATTCAACTTCGAAATTCAACTTCGAAATTCAACTTCGAAATTCAACTTCCTTGATTTTGAATCAGAATATGCTGGAAAAACTAATGATTTTTTTTTTCCCAGCTGCAAATATTAATTATTTCTGTTAGTGTTTCTCATAATTTTAAGTGATTAAAATGTGATTTTAAGGGCATCACCACTGCCCCCAAGAGAGGTGCAGCAGGGAAGAAGAAGGCTGAACAAGTTATGCAATAAGTGACCCAAGTCTTCAGTTTGCCAAGGTTTTCATTCTGTCTGGCAGGCTACAATAAACAAAGGCCCCAAGAACCTTCCCTGACCCATGCCCCAAAAGGAACATTTTCTTTCTACCTGCATTTCCAAGGGTAAGGCTTGACACAATATTAAGGATTAGAAAAATGGAAAGCTTGATTACAACTTACACCAAGGGCAGTGGGGAGTGGAAAATGGGTATAAAATCTACTAGCTCACAGTATTAACAGTTCATACCCACTTTGCATCTCCAGTGCTGTGGCAGAATGGATAGCCTGTGACCTGGGACATGGCAGTGGATGGAGGCACAGGAGTTTCTTCCTTGGGGAATATTTTATTGGAGTTAACTCTGGCCAAGCCAGATTTGGGTCTGCCCTCCCAGACTTTACCTAGTGAAGTCAAACATGATGGACCAGTTGGGTGTGTTCAGCATCCTGTTTCATATTATTTTATGTGTCAGTCTCAATTAAGCTATTAGGGCCTGCAGAGCTATTTATATATTATTTCAGACTGGCTTAATTTTCTGTAAGCACAGTAATGTAACATTATCAGCATCACTAGTCATGCTACTTTTTGTTTGCACTGCTTTAAGTGCCCAGACAATAAATACTTTGGTTTTCAATCGAACCAAAATGACATTGAATGATGTTTCAGTTGGCAAAGGTGTCCCATTAAAAGTAAAAATGAAAACAGCTTCTTGGCAGTTGAGAACAACCTTAAATAAAGCTCTAGGTTCACTTAAAAAAAAGTTCCATTTATAAAGATCATCAAATTAAGCAAACTGGCACAAGAGTTTGTGAACAGCAAACCTACAGTAATTCTCAGCTGTAGGTGTTTTTATTGTATTCACTGACACTATTTTCAATTACTTTGCACTTCACTTGTTATTGTGGTTAGACCTTCCCCATGTCCTATGGATCAGCTACAGGCATTTACAAGCTCTCCAGAAATACTCTGGTGACCAAGGCTATGGAATTTACAACCACTTACACAAGACTTGGGTCTCAATCTGATACCTTTGAGATTAACCTAAGGGTCCCACTGCCATCAGCAAATACTAAATCTATTTCTGTGGGCCAGTCCTGGCAGATGCCAAGTTCTTTCAGTTGCCTCTAAATTAAGTCTCTTCCAAAATAAACATTCCTGCCCTTTGAAACTCAGACATCCCTGTGCATCAGCTGTCCTTGGTGCATCTCACTGGCCCCCAACCCAGCAAAAGCTCCTTGCTGCAGAGCTCCAGGGCTGCTGCAGGGACCTGCTGCACTGGCATCTCCCACTGCACTGGCATCTCCCACTGCACACCCCTGCAACCACAACCCTGCCAACGATGGAGCATGTGAGGTCTGAGGGACTCCTCTCATCACCTGGCCAAGTTTCTTTACCAACAGCCCCCTGGAAATCTCAGAAAGTCCAAGGATTCAGGTAACAAGACTGCAAGTGTGTTCAGCACCAACAGTAAGACCATCAGGGGTATAAGGCAGCAACTTTTGCATCCCATGTGCACATCACTACTTCACAGAACTGCCTGGTTGCTCCCAAAGCCCAGATTATTTCTATTTATTAGGTACAAGCTGTATAAAATCCTCAATATGTAGCACTAAAGCAATTCTGCTTCCTATATTGTTTGTAAACACAAGCTCACACCTTGCATAAAACACAATACAGGTACCTGGCCAGTGCTGGGCTTTTTAAAAATACATATAACAGAAACAGAGGTCTACTTTAATATCAGTAAAATTAACCATTCCTGTAAAAACATACATGTTCTCCTATACAGAGACTTTATATGCAGAGAGCTTTCAAAGACCTAAGGACATTGTGTGGGCATCCCTAGAAGTGGGCCCTGTTGTCTTTTTCAAGCATCAGTTACAACTGTACAGAGCTCTCCTAATTCTTTGAAAGGAGTTAATTGTTTTACAGGAGCCAACATTGCTCCTCAGAAGCACTTTGTGCCCTACAGAGCCAGGGAGTCAGTGCTGGAAAGGGTATTGAATGCCCTCCAGTGCTGTAAGCCCAGGCTTGCTCCCATTTCCATAGGATTTGGCCCTCTGAGTAAAAGAAATGTCACCTCTTGTCTGCAGGAGCACATTGCCAGCCCGTGCAGGGACACAGCTTAACCCACACGCTCTGCAACAGTTTGGAGATCAGAATATTCACCTCTGTCACTTTCAAAAAGCCTGAAAAATCAGCAACCACGTTCCCATGAGTCAGCATAGCACCTTTGGGGTTTCCTGAAAGGAAACAAAGAGGGATTTTAAAAGATGAGCTAGTAGGTGATTTCCAAAATCTTTAAACAAGAAAACAAGTAAACAAGAAGAGATTAAAATACTCATTTCTCATTTAGAATTATAAAACTTATATCAACTTTGCAGTCATTTCTGTGCAGAAATGCATGAAAAACACTTACTGAAATCCTCAAAATTCAGTAAAAAGATACTGCAAACACACTATGACATTAATGTTTCTTCTGGAGACACTGAATGAGTTTCCACTAGAAATAGCCCAACTGCAGTTTGTGAGAGCACTGAGACAGAGCCACTGGGTAACATGAACAATGCAGAGAACAGGTACAACATGGGAGAAATTAGGCTACTAGTAGATTTTATAAGACTGCAACTAAGGGAAGTTATTAATACTGTCAGCAGCAGAGCAGAGGTGCCCTGGGGACAGGGACAAGGAGCTGGCAGATCCTCAACATGTCACCCAGCCCCAAGCACTACGCTGGCAGCCTCCACCCATGGGCAGCTCCATGCTGTCGGCATTTGGTTATTCACCCTCTTTTCCAAGCTGAGAACCCCCCTTCACACTGTCATATCATTTTTGGATGTTGTGTGTGTTCATACACCAAAATGGGTTTAGTCCCATCCCAAAATCCAGTCCCACCCACAGCACCCTGCCACGCAGGACCCTGCCTGTCCTCCTGTCACAAACCCTTCTCATCACCCTCCAGGGGTCTATTTCTGAAAACAAGGTGTCACTCAGCTCAAATAAAGATTCCCCAGAGCCAGGCTCTCTCTCCAGCCTGTTTTTAAGCAGATTGTTTTAATTTGATCACACCACTGCAGCACAGCCCCTGCCACACTGCCCAGAATCAGATGGGAGGAGCTTTACCCTCAGCCCTTGGCACGGTGGGCACAGGGATGTCCCCAGGAGCTTTGTGATGCTGTTCCAGTTAAGAACAGATGTAATAGATTCCCCAAAATCATAAAGCAGCCAGAATTTCATTCCAGGAGTCGTGGTGCCAAGCCCTGTGCCATACCAGCTTCACCAATGTCTCTTCTACCCAGCCTCACAAATAATGAAATGAAGGCTCAAACAGCAGCAGTGATTGTTGCACACATTTATTGCACCCAAGCAGGACATGTATTTTACTGAAAATCCATTTTTGGTGTTCCAAGCACCTTGGAATAATTCCATCCCAAAAACCTGGGGGTGAATTCAGTGCAGAGGAGGCTGTTTTGGTCCTGGTCTGAAGCTCAGAGGTGAAGCTGGAGGTGGCATCTTTGCCAACCACAACTGCTCCTGTCCCAGCATGTCCTGCAGGCAGGCACCAGCTCAGCCAGGCACCAGCTCAGCCAGGCAGGTTTTGTTTTGAGATGCCTATTTTCACAGCTGGCTGCACTCGTGGATCCAGACCTCCAGAAAACTCCACGAACTGATGTTGGTTGTAAAAACACACCAGTGACCCAGGAACCTCTGATGTTGTTTTGTTTTGCTCCACCCAAACGCAGGTGTTCAGCCTCTGCAGCTCTTGCACAAGTCCCTCTGCAGCCAGCAGGTCACAAACCAGTGGAGAGGATGTGCTCAGTGCTGGTCTGACAATACAAAACTGCATCCTCTGGCTATACCAGCAGCAGATCTGGCTCCTGCTCCTTCACACAGCTCTTCAGACTTCTTTTGGCTGATTTGTCAGATGCTTTGAGACCCCAGGCTCGCTTACTCCACCGCTGGCTGCGATGCAAATTCCTCTGCTCAAACCACCAGGACATGCCTGGAAGCAGCATGATCACCCTGCTCCTTCCCCCAGGTCCTGCCCCAGCATCCTGGGCAGGCTGTTGTGGTGATAGTGCCAAGGCAGAGCAGCAGCTTTAGAGCCAGGATAACCTTCCTCTGGAGAAATCCAGAACAAATTGCTGCCACGTGGAAGCTCCAGCTTTCGGAGCTGGGGAATTCCTGTAAAATTTGACCTTCTCTAGTTCTTCTGTTTTAAGAGCTGGCCCAGCAGAACAGGTGCCCCTTGCTATGACCCTTTCCCAGAATTACCACTTGGAGAGGAAAAGGTTGGCAGAGATCCTGCTTTTCCTCTTACTCAATCAATGCCAGACCTGTCCCACTGCTCTCCAAGTTGGATCTCCTTGTAAATCCACACTGTGCCAGTGTCCTGTATGGACACAGGTGGGTGATGATCCGGTTAGATAACAGCCTGGGAATGGTGGTCTGTCCTGATCTTGGTGCCAAGCTGCTCTGACACTTCTCAGAAGCAACAGAAGAGCATTTTCCTTGTCACTAAATGGGACCTACAAGTAGCAGCTCCAACAGTAACTCGGTGGTGTGACCCATCAGCATTTTGAGATGCAGGCACTTCCCTCCCCAGAGCCTCTGCAGTCAGGGATGTGCTTTGTCAGGCTGTGAGAAACTGCTGGGATATGATTTTTATCCAACTGGTTAGAGGTGGAACCTTGAGGAAATGACAGTTTTCTTCTCTGGAGGATGAGGGATTGCGTGCTGACGGTTTGGGGACACCCCTGTGCCTTTGGCCCTCTCATGAGTGCTGATGATTCCTGGGTACAACACGAAGCTGGTCTTGTCATCTGAGCTCAGCAGCCTCCATCTCTCCCTTCAGCCAGAAGAGGCATTTGGACATGGGATCCTATCAAAGAAAAGCACAGGTCACAATCTGCTTCTGGGTTTCTTTATTGAACAGCTAAAATTGTTTCCAATCCGACAGTTTCCAGGTTACAAGCCCCAGAGCAACCACTGGTTTCACAGCATACAAAAATATTTAGAGCTCTTTAGAATTGAAAAAGTTCTTGTGAATGTATCCCTTGGAAGAACATTCTAAATCTGGTGATTGCAAATACCCTGACATGGGCTAGACAAAAACCCCAGGCCTTTTACATCAAAACACAACCCAGAAAACAGATCAGAGTGTTACTGCAGCCCCTGGAAAAGCCAGAAGGTGAATTGCAAAGTCCTCCAGCAGCAGAGGATGGGCTGGTGGTTCACAAAGCATTGCTCTGCCAGAGTTTGGTTCACAGATGATTTGCACTGACTTGCAGAATTTGCAACCTTGGGTCTGGGTGGGAGAAAGCAAATGAGCTCCCTGGTTGGCCTAGTTCTGTAACTTCAGGCATGTTCCTAAGAAAAGCACAAAGTCAGAAACTGGCTCATGATTGCATTTGCATGGGGGGGGAAAAAAAAAAAAAAGAAAATCAAAACACCCTTCTCTATTTAGAATTTCTTATTTAGAAATAAAAATATGAACCAAAATGGGACTTGAAAAAAAAAATATTTAAAAATTGCTCTTCCCTTTAAAATCCACCCGACCAAAGTGTGTCCCAGCGTGGCTGTGGGCACAGCTCCTCTGGTTTCCTCCAGTTCCCACATGTGCCCAGCCACTCTGCACTGGCCCAGCCAGCACTCAGTGTACAGGGCTGTGACCTCCATACCCTGCACTGGGCTCCAGCTTTTCCTTTCAGGAATTCCCTCTGCTGAGCTGGAGCAGAGCCACGGGCTCCTCTCGCCCACTTTGCCTTGGGCACTCTGAAGGGCAGAACTCTCAAAACTCAGAAGGAAGGTAACTTAACCAAAGCCTTGTAGTGCATTTTGAGTTTTTACTTGAAGTGGGTAAAGCAGCCACCTACCTGATCTGCAGCTCAAGTCTTCTCCAGGAGGTGGAAGATGAAGGTGTCCCCTCCTGCCCAGCCTGATCTGCAGGATGAGCAGCACCTGCAGCTCCCTTCCCACGCCGTCATCTTCTGCCTCCCTTCACCAGTGGAGGCCAAATGGAGGGTGCTTAGGGCAGGACCAAGCCTTAGGCAATCCTGAGAGCAGGGGGGACCACAGAAGGGCCAGCCCAGCAGTCCCTCAAGCCTGGTCCTTCCCTGCAGGTAAGTATAAAAGCTGTTTCCCAAGGGATGGGAATACCAGCAGCGTGGGCTGCCCAGGCTTGTCCCTGAGCCCAGCACATCTGCCCCAGGGCCAAACCAAGGAGATGGCAACACTCAGCAAGCTGGGACACTACACAGTGGGGCTGGGGACACGGGTGTGCTTGGGATACAGAAGGTGGAAAACTGCATTCCTTTTTTTTTTTTTTAATAACAAATCTGCAGAAGTTAAGTGCTCATCAATCAAGTGCTTCAGGACTGCAAAATGGGAAGCAAGAACATGGGCAGATTTCCAGACAACTGCAAAATCTGACTGTGCTGTCAAAGTGTAGGTCAGGGAATTCAAATGAAGAATAAATACACTATTTTTTTAAATTTGCAAAGCTGCAGAAATATATGTACACATAGATCATTATATATTAAAAACGCATTGAAATGTTATTGCTCTATCAGCATAATAACATGTTTACACGTATTGAGGTGTTGTTAATAGTTAATTTTGTAATCTATTCTAACATTTCAAGATTAAAATGCCTTTTTTTTTTTTTTACCTGTAGTGCCACTAGTAAAACAGACAATTGATAGGTCTTCTGGTCGAGGAGGCTAGAAATACACAAGGAGAATAAGAAAATCACATCAATCAAATGCAGAAGGGTCAATGACAGACTGTTGTCATTGCACAGACTTAAAGATCAAACCATTTGTATTTCATCTCTGCCACAAAAAGCTTTCATTTCCCTTGGCAAATGGAAAAGACCCTCCTAAAAACCTGTTCATCAGACTGCTTCAGGTGGGGGAGACTCTGTCCCTCCCTTTTGCTCCAGCTCTGTTAAGGACACACATCAGTGTAAGAAGGCTTTGGCGGAATGTGTCTTGCAGTTTGTCTTTTCAAAGACACCATCTAGACCTGTAGGTGTGTGGGAAAACTCCACACAATTTACTGATTGCCAGTTGCTCCCATGCTCAGCAGCACCTTGGGATTCTCAGCACTGCTGCACGTGTGCATGACTTTGGGTCACCAATGGATAAATCAGTGGCTGGAAAATCAAAGGCTGCTTTTGAAGTATTTGCATGGGTATGAGCAGCCAGTGAAAACCAGACACTTTTCAAAAAAAATATCCCAGAGAAATACTGCCAAGCAGCATTCCTGAGCTCCAGAATCCACACCAGGAAGCCAAGGGTGCAAACACATCCCCTGGTGCTACCTGATTATGGCAGTGGGATTAGTGCAGCTTAAGAGCACTTAATTACTGTTCTATTAACATGTTCAGCAAGGATCAACTGTCTCAGTGAAGTGTCCCAGGTGAAGGGTATGAAGCAAGTGCTGCACATCTCCAGTGGATGGTATGGAGAGTCCCTGGGCTCCTCCCCTGCCCCCAGACCCATGGGCTGCTTCTGCCCCCCGCAGACCTTCCCCCTCCTCAGCGACACCAACAGAAGGTGGGGAAAACACCAACCCAGCACTCACCACAGGCACGTGGCGACTCTCACGGCCGCAGTCCTGAAAGAGAATGAACAAAAAATGATTCCCACTTCAAATCCTGTGGTATAACCCACTAGCTAACAATCAGCTGCAAACCCCTGAGGGAGAGCGTGAGCTAGAGCAGAAGAATTTGTGGCTAACACTTAGGTCATCTTTTCTACACCAAGTTTCTTGCATCAACTGCAGTGCCACCCTAGGGTTTCAAGCAGGGCTTGGATTGGTTGAGCTGCATCCAGGCTGTCTCCTACAAGTGTGAGGCTGTAGGCATATGTGAAGGAGGACAGTGTCTCAAACAGCAACCCACTTCCCAGGCTTAAATAGCAGCTGGTATCTTCTTTGAGCAGAAAGGTTTGAAATGTTGTCTCCTATCAACAAGAATAACACTAAGATGCAACTGAGCATCAACATCATCAGCCACAAGCTGCTCTTTTGGGTTCTCCAGACACTCCACCGGCCACACAGTTCACAAGTCCCTCTATATTTTACTGCCTTTTATACAAAGACTACAAAATGTAATAAATAGAGAGGGAGAGCAAAGTTACCTCCACCTCCTGCATGGTCTGGATGTGAACCCCGCAGCGCTTCCCTCTCTCTGTCAGCTCCTTCTCAAAGGGGTCCATCAGGATGATGGAGCTCAGACCAGGGGTTTCTCTCCTCTCCACGTGGTCAAGGAGCGTTCTGGCTTTTTCAGGTTTGTCACAAATGACTGTGGAAATGTCAGCTGGAAGAAAAGCAGCCAAATGAGCTGCTTGCTGTAAACCTTTTTTTTTTCTGTAGCTTTTTTAATGCAAGATTGGCTGCTGGCTCACAGCTTGTGTGGTGTCAGCTCTGCTGCTCACTTCAGGCTAACATCAGAGACCCTAGGACAGGGCTTACATTTCCCTTAAAAAATTAGAATCATAGAATCATCAAGGTTGGAAAAGACCTTCGAGACCATCAAGATCAGCCCTACATCCCCAAGACCACTAAACCATCTCCCAAAGCACCATGTCTACATCTTTTTTGAACACTTTCAGGGATGGTGCCTCCACCACCTCCCTGGGCAGCCTGGTCCAAGGCCTCACCACTGTGAAGAAGTTTTTCCTAATATCTAGTCTGAACCTCCCCTGCTGCAACTTGACCCCATTTCCTCTTGTCGTATTGCTGGTCACTAGGGAGAAGAGGCCAACACCCACCTCACCACAAGCTCCTTTCAGATAATTGTAGAGAGCAATGAAGTCTCCCCTCAGCCTCCCCTTCTCCAGGCTGACCAGCCCCAGCGATTCCCTGCCAACCTCCATGGGTGCCAAAGCTGTATCTGACATCTCCAGTTATTTTGGGATTCTGTTCAAAATACTAAAATTGCTCACCACGTGGGCTAAAAAAATTCAAGGAGGTAAAAAAATGAAGTGGCAGAGGAGTGGATGGCAGTGGAGTAATCCCTGCAACCAGAGCAGCCCCATCCACAGCTCAGCACAACCAGACACATTGGAACCGCAGCAGAGGCAGCCCTGACCCAGCGTGGGGACACACTGCTCCCCAGAAACCTCTCTCAGTGGCTTCAAGACACTTAAGGAGTAGAATCACCCATCTTCTGGGAAAACAAAGGAAAATTAACTACTCTGAGCAATAAACCTGGTTTCTGAGAAGATGACTTCCATTTTGTTTTTACCTGTGTTAACGATGTAACGAATGGCCCCAGGACCTAAGGTGTCATAGAGGGGAACCACCACCATGGAGTAGGTGTAGCAAGCCAGCTCAGCAATTATCCACTGCAGGAGGACATCAAAGCACAAAGGTGAGAAAGGGGTTGTGGGAACCAATTCAACACACTTGAGAACAAGTTTGGAGGACACAGCAAGCTCACAAATCAGGAACATGATTAACAGAGCATCAAGTTGGATTTAAAATCTCACCTCTGGCCGGTTTTGAGCAAAGACCCCAATGAACTGCTTTGTGGATGGTTTGCAGCCCTGCTGAATCAGCCCTGAACCCAGAGCTTCTGCTCTTTCAGCCACCTGGAATTTGGAGAGGAAAAAAATAGATGCAGAAGAGGAATATAAGCAATACCAAAGTAGGTGAAGACAGTTTATGCAGGGAGGCTTTCACATGATTGTATTTGCTCTCTGAAAGCCCAGGCTTTTACATTATCACAAGTCACTGGTAGCTGACCAGCAGGTGACCTCTTGTTGGCAACATCCCATGGCTTTGGGCATGTCAGTGCCACTGTCAAGAGCAGGCTGATGGCACTGAGCTAGTCCCCAAAAGCCAGCACACCTCTGTAACACCAGGGCATGCCCAAGTGGTGAACCAAGAGCCTTCTGCTCCAGCACATGCATGTTACCAATGAAACCCCTTCTTGTGCTGGGCAGGACTCTGCAGGGGACCACATCCAGCTCACCTCCTTGTAGGACAGCCACTGGTAGGGCTGCTTGGGCTTCCTAAACCCCAGGCATGGGCCATTTTCTGGAAGACACAAGCAGAGATAATGGAGTTATGGGGGCAGTGCCAGGAATCATAAATTTGTATTAGTTGAAAAAGACCTTAAGGATCATCAAGTTCAACTGTTCACCCAGCAATGTCAAGGTCACCACTAAGCAGAACCAGAAAAGTGTACCTGGAGCACATCTCCTGTGAAGACAGGCTGAGAGACTTGGGGTGTTCAGCCTGGAGAAGAGAAGGTTCCAGGGAGACCTTAGAGCAGCTTCCAGTGCCTGAAGGGGCTCCAGGAAAGCTGGGGAGGGGCTTGGGACAAGGGCAGGGAGTTGGTTCTAGATAGTTTTTCAGGTCCTTTCCAACCCCAACCACTCTGTGATTTATCATAGAAACCATGTCCCTCAGCATCACATCTACACAGCTTTTGAATCCCTCCAGGGATGGTGACTCCACCACTGCCCTGGGCAGCCTGTGCCAGGCCCTGACAAGGTGCTGCCCAGTGCCACGCTGTGGGGCAGAGCCCTCCAAAAGCACATCTCTTGTTCTGGGGGTGGGCTCTGGGGCAGAGCTC